CTCTTGTGAACACGGCAGTGAACCTTCGGGTTCCATAAGATGCTGGGAAATTCTTGAGTAGCTGCAGAATTGGCGGCTCCACAAGAAGGGCTCAGCTCTATGAGTAAGTATTGTGTACTGTATTTGTATCTTTCGTGTTGGCTACGTACATTTTGTTGTGTGGTGTCAGAATGATTTTGTGTTGACGAAATTCAGTGTTGTGAATTACTTGTTCATTCCTGTGTACACCTGAAGGTTCGGCCACACAGAGCGCTACGTACGCTATGTTCGCTATACGAACAGAAAAATATCTCCCTTTATTGCCAATGTGACTGGCCACACAGACTTCCGTACGCTACGTACGCTATGTTCCCTATGTTAGCTGCGTCACAAAGTGTACACAGCGTACGTAGCGCTCTGTGTGGCCGAACCTTTACATGGACATGACCTTCGACCGCATTCGAGGCCAGAGCTGCTGAACAAATGGTCCAGCGGGAAGTCTGTACTCCTTGTATCGATGAGATCACATGATTCAGCTGTTTCTAACGAGGCCAGCATTCGTAAGACGGACGACTGTTAGATTGGGCCTGGTCAGGAATACAACGTCCATGATGTGTTCGCGTACGGATATTTTTAGCTCAAACGGAAACGACATAACATAACATCCTGTGCTAAAAAGTTGAGAATGTCTGACACGTTTAAGTAGTACACAGATTCAGAATTGAATTAAGAACATCCCTCAATTTTATACTGCAGCTTCATATTGTAAGACACTGTTTATTATTGTACAGTCGACACAATTCTGGTATAAACACACCATACCTTTGCATGTGCTACATGTTTCGGCTTATTGCGGCCGTCATCAAGTATATGTAGTTTTCAGAATCACCTATCCTTCCATCTGCTATACCTCCCTACACTGGCCACTGTTTACACATTGGGAGTGTGTTGTATAGGTATGTTGTTTATGTAATTCCCTTATGTTATGAAATATATTAAATATAAAAATTTATTTTTTAAATATTAAAATATTGTAATTGGAATTAAATTGAGTTATGTTATATATATTCCTCCTCTTAGTTTATGTTGTCATGCCCCTTTTTTATGCTGCCAGATGTTTAGGTGGTGTTCGAAAGTGCGCATTCTTGTTTTTCATGGAATTCTTCCTGTCAACTGAAATATGAATGTGCCATTAATGCGTGTATTATAAGTTTGCTTCGGTCTAGAAAACCGAAATTAACGACCGTGGGGATTCGTTACGCTGACCACGCGACACCCTCTTTTCGCTAAAGTTGGTACTAATTTCGCCGACAAGTGGCGGTCGGTCAGTATAGTTCGCTTGCGGACTAAAGCCATGGAATTTGTTTTGATTTTTGTTTTGTTATAAGTTTGCATGTTTGGGTAGGGCTGTGTTTTTGTCCTTACCTTACGTTGTTGTTGGGTTATGTGTTGTGGTGTGTGATGTGTTGTTCTCGTGTTCTTTTCCATTCTTCCCATGGTCTGCTCTGCAACACACATGTTCAATATTTAATACATTTCATAAGGTAAGGTTCTTACACAAACAGCATACCTATATAAGGAACTTGCAATGTGCAAACATGCAGTGTGGGAGGTATAGCAGATAGAAGGGTGGTTGTAAAAGCTCTGTGTACCTGATGATGGCCCCAGTAGGCCGAAACGTGTAACACATGCAAAAGTATGTTGTGTTTGTACCAGGATTGTGTGGACTGAATAATAATAAACAAAGAAAGTTTTAAACGTGACCAAATCGTTTTATATACTGGCTGAGATATTTGTGTTTTTGTACGCCTTTCCATTGTGTTGATCTTCCTCGGCCCTCCTGAGCGAATGGAAAGGCAGCATCTCCGTCCTGTCCAAAACTCTTGAAGTCTTCCACTTTTCGAGTCTGAACTTCTGCATCTGATTCTGTGTCGTCATGTAACCTACCACTCAGCCACTTGTACCGTGCTTTGGACTTTTCGCGACCTAAGCAATGCACTTATTTGTAAGTGAAATTTTTATTATTCAAGAAGTTGGAACGTTCCTATTCGACCGTCTCTAATTAATGAAGCTTCTTTGCCGTGATTAGTTTAATTACGCGGCTTAGAATATTTTTGAATGCCTTCTCGATCGGAAACCTGTTTGCAATTCGTCTAAAAGGGCCCATGCACGTAGGAGTGTGGCTCGCGAGTCCGACTCGGCTCGGGTTCCAATGAGCCAAACTCGTCCGTGTGTGGGTCGTAAAGTTGAGAGTCAGCTCATGCGTTTGTGGTGAAATTAATCCGAACCCGGCTCCCGAGTCAAGCTCGCCGAGCCGGACTCATACGTGTATGGGCCGTTTAAAGAAACAAGCATCGTTAATTGCAACACCTCCATGTAGATTGTAATACATTACTAAACTATAAGTTGTGACGCAATAGGGGCAATCACAAGCGAATGCAACGATTGGAATACTTCGACTATTCTTTTCCTGTTTTTCTTTCTAAGTATTTTCACGAATTGAACCGTCTGACCTGTTACTGCCCGTAATTAAGTCTGAAACACAAAATATTCAACAGGTGACAGGCCTGTGTGGACCGTCCCATCGCAAGACGATGCAAGAGCACGCACAATGACGCAGAGGAAGGCATCTCATGCTTGGTTTCATTGGTGATTTGAATAGACTCGTCTTAGCTGCACTTTATAAACAAATTTCAACAAAATTAGCATACCGGTAGTTTAAACTTTGGTGATGGTATATCCACCATGCGAGGTATTACCATTAATAAAGCCATGACTCAGTCGTCAGAGCCTCATTCGTGAAAGCAGAATGTGCCCATGAAGGATTGGTTGTTGTTAAATGGTAAGGGTTTTGTGAGATGAATCATTCTCCTTCGAAGCCGCGACCCCAGGCTACACGCAGCCTAAGACTTGGATTTTGTTTTCAATTTATTCATTAGAATATGTTTCCTCTCAAATACTGCGTCCTTTTTCGTACTAACTTCAGCTTCTTGTAGCACACAGAATCACACGATTTTATCAGAGATATTGGAAGTCTCACTTGACAACTGTAAAGAGCGGAGTTTCAGTAGATGAGGTTCCCAGAAAATAGTTTGATATTTCTTGCGGCTCCTATGCTGGGATCGCGGGATCTGTTTTCCGAAATAGGTTTGTTTTTCATGGCTTCCTTAATATGTTCCAAACTAATCAAGGACAGTACCGTGAAGTAGGCAGTTGCTGTATGTATTCCGTCTTGGTTCGTCCATGATCACACAACCGGTATTCCGATCTGCTTAAGTTTTATAGTCCAAGTCTGAGACAGCTGACTAACTTCATGGAGCCGAGTCCTACTTGGAAGGGGGGAGGTGGTCAGCTTTCAAGACATTCCCAGCGCATATGGAACCCGAAGATTTATTACCGCCAATGTTTCTCATCCTAAGCCAGATGAATCCAGTCCATTTCCTTCCATTACATATATTTCAAATAGATTTTAATATTATGCTCCCATATGAATACAATAAATACAAACCACTCCGTCCAATGTGACATATAAGTTTTTACCACATGAAAACTTATCTCCCTTACACGTTTCGGTCGTTATTGACCATCTTCAGAGGGAACATCGTTACGAACTGGAAACTACCATCACAATAGGTGTTTTGGTTTAAAATACATACACTTATATCCTATAATGCACAGTACACATAAGGTCGAACATTTCACAATCACAGCAGCTTCCTGGTATTCTAAAGTTTTTAAAAGTTTCTAGATGTTAATTTAAAAAACCTTTATTGTCACTAGTTGAACTTTTTTAAACCACGTAGGTTCGTGTCCGTACTCCTATCGTCCTTTTTGTATGGGGCAGATTTTGTGCCGCCTGTCTATCTTGATGAGGAGGTTCTTGATGTCGTCCAGGGTTTGTTCGTGGCTTGCTGTGTTGTTTTCACATTGGACGGAGTGGTTTGTATTTATAATTGTTAGTGTGACGGACCAGAATGAAACAAATCAAATTTATGCTCCCATCTTTGTCTAGGTCTTTCTTGTGTTCTCTTGATTAGTGACTGGCTTTCGGATTAATGTATATCGTGCTTACTGGACTAGCTGCATAATATTTACTCTTCACCAAATGTGATTATGGCAATGAAATCGAAGAGGGTGAGGGTTAATACGTATGAGAAATGAGAAAAACGCACAAATTTTTGGCCTGAAACTTGAAGTTAAGAGGCCCCTTGGGGGACACCTAGAGGCAGACGAAAGGCTAGTATTCTAAAAATAATGTGTAGAAGTATATTGTGACGGTATGTTTTGAATTAATGTGGGTTAAGTTGAATGAAGTGAACATGGAAATATTTCGAATTTCTCAACTGACAAGGATTTTCTCGGATAGCTGTGATGATGTTGCCTTCTCAAGAAGGATTCTTTTGTAGGAAGCTCGTTAGTTAGGATGGATGAATCAATATTTTGGCCTGTATAGGCCTATACTTGGTAATAGAAGGTGTGAGATATTCGGGGCGTCACGCACACATGCGAGAGAAAGAAATGCACACAAAATTTTAATCGGAAGACCCGAAGGAGACCTAGGCATGGCTGGAAGGATAGACTTAATGGTAAGATGAAACTTGCATGAATGTGATGTGATGATGTATACTGGATTCATCTGGCCCAGGATGGCACCACTGACGGTCTGGTTTGTTTTCAGATCGGCTGAGAAATTATTAGATTGTGAAGGAGTTTCCTCCGTGGAGTTAGTTATATCACTTGAGCTGGTGTTTACCTTTCTAGTCTATTATGAAAATGTCCCGAGTTCGATACCCGCTTGTAGCCACTAATCTTAGACTTTAGAGAAAAGCCGCTTTGACATCGAACACCTGAAGACTGAAACAGCCAAATTCTGAAACGTCTGGTGTTGACGGGAGCATTGCTCTTCGTGAATAAAACGAGCCACATCCCAGAAGATCGTTGTCATAATTTTCATTGCTGTGAGAATCAGTTGAGTGGCTTTATGAACACGCGGAACACTGAGTTCTGTTTGTTTGTTTCAGGATGATAGTGCGGAGAGAGCCGGAGTCGAAAGGGTGCCGCACCCCTTGCGGCTAGTTGCACCGCTCCGTCTAACTGCAGCATCCACTGAAGTGAGTACTAAACTAAACTGGTCTAAATGAAATGTAAAGGCAAGGTTGTCTCTCTTCTGCAGCCACGCGCCTTGCAACGATGCAGCACACGGAGGTGAATGGTCAGCTTCATGCTCTGGTCTGTCGTAATCTGGGAGAAAGCCATTGGTTAGGAGGCCCCATTGAGGGTAATGTAGGAAGAAATTTTGTTCCTGCCAATTTTGGCACCCCCATCATCTAGCTCCTGGCCAGTTATCAGTTCTTCTGTAACAGTTGGTACTTATGAACCTAGGGTCTGGACAGCCAGACTGGGGCACGAATGTTCCTTTATATCACAGCGTACAGACAAACTTTTTAGGGCCAACCCAACTGCCCTCCTATTCACTGGTTATCGGGAGCTTTTCCCCAGGGGTAAAGTGGTCGGAGCGATAACCTGACTAAGTCCCTTTTACTGCGGCCACTTCTGGCCTATTGTACCAGCCCCAGATGATAGGTGAGGGTGATTGTGGAGTAATTGGTGGAATGAAGATTGACAGGGAAAACCGAAGCACTCGGAGAAAACCTGCCCCAGCGCCACTTTGTCCACCACAAATCCCACTTGACCAGACCCGGGATCGAACCCGGACCGCCGCGGTGGGAAGCCAGCGACTAACAGCTTGAGCTATGGCGCGGCCCACTAACCTGACCATTAATTCAATCGAATACCGAAGTTAAGAATATGTTGACTGTACCTCAACTCCCTGGGCTTCATGGCTTTGTGTGTGTGAAAGTGATTTATTTTTGTTCCTTAGGTGAGTTCTGGGGGGAGATGGTTTTGCAAACAAGGCGCTAAGTGATTTGTATATACCTCCCCTGGTATTAAACCGAGATATCGAATTTAGGAAAACATTCTTGTGGAGAATACTGTTTGAAACGGCTCTTAACCTAGGAGTAGAGAGGAGTGAGGAATGTTCTGAAGTGACTGAGGATCATGTGCGTGTGACATGGTGGAACCTTGCGTTTTATTACCGGGCACGTAGTGTCTATTAGTCCTTTACAGTCTCACATACAATACCATGTTCTATAAACTTTATTAAAAGCTGTTCACTTTAGAAAGTCTATCACTGCATGTTTAGACAAATGTGATCATCATCAGGTGTTAAAATTATTTGACTAGGAAACTGCTGTCTTCTGTTGTTGCTTATGTTGTTAACATGAGAGTCCTCTCGATGCGCATGCGTGTTTGAGTTAGTGGGCTGTATTCTCCCGTGTTGTGCTGTCCCTCTTGTTGACGAATGCAAAGATGCAACAAAATGCTGACATACTTGTATACTGTTACCTGCCGTTACTTATTCTCTTTCCCTCGGAATGCTCTGCCCCGTATTTAAACAAATATCTGACAATGCGTCTCACATCGGCTGTGGTGATCTACAGAACCTCATCTGCGAAGGCATGAAGGTGTTATTACTATAAAGTTATGAAAACTTTTTTAAGACACTGCACCCAGAGCCGGAATCGATTGAAGGGCGACCACATCAGTCGATGTTCGTTACAATTCGCTGCAGATATTAGGAACAAGAATAACGAGGCTGCCAGTAAATCAGATTAGTTTGGCTTGCTGTCATATTGGTGGTCCCTTGCGGTAGGCAAAGTTAGATGCGGGTACATACAACCAGAATGAGTTTTTTATTATCAGGCGATTTAGAATTGTCCATTGAAGTTTGAGCTGTGGGTACGATCGGATTGTTATTTTAGCGAAATTTATAATGAAGTACTTAGTAGAAAACCGTGTGGAGGCGGGGGCGAATACCTGCACCGTGACCCTGCGAGTCGTAGGAGGCGACGAAAAAGAAGACTCAAATCTGAGATAGTAAAATATGGTCACGAGTCCCAAGGGACTTGGACCCGAGAAATACTGCGCTGGCAAGGGCCAGCAGCATATACAAAAGACAGACCCGTCCTCTCGTCAGAGAAGGCGCCCCACAGAAACAAGACCGTAACTGTCGAACAGTAATAAGTATCTGGTCAAGAGCCTCAGATGGGGCTCGACACCAAGACCTACTGACTGAACGTCAGTCGCAATGTGACTTTGACTTTGAGTACCTAGAGTATCTCAGCTTTAAGTAGGTACCGATGTAAATTTTGGCCGGGATATCGATTTGATTTTTCTCAATTTTCGGCTTTTATTCTGTACGAATCAAATTACATTTCGTAATTCATCACTCATGATCGTCACGTTTCCTAGGATGCTTCATGTCAAGTGTAGTTGAAATGTTGGATAATACGTACGAATCAACAGGTTTGCGTAGAGAGGAGGGAACCTTCGTTCATTTACAAGTGTCTGTCTCTCCAACCCTGGAACATGTAATGATGATGCACTCCATGAAAATAAGAGATTCCAAAATGTAACACCGACAAGCGGTAATACAACCAGAATACAAAGCGATGTAGTACATATCGGCCAACTAGATCTGTCACACTACTGGAAACCGAAATTAATATTTAAAATCTGTTTCTTTAAATACTCGCCGGCAGAAGGTTCCAAATAAACTTTATAGACCTGTAGGCATTGGACATTTTGTTTTTTGTTTTTTTTTCCTAATTTCCTGTATATTTACAATCTACTCAACATATTACGAGTATTTAGTAAATGTGATAAGTCAATTGACACTGTAGGTGTTGCCGGCCAGTGCCGGTTCACCTTATGTTACTTAACTAAGTCTTCGGGCCACTGTCTCTTGAGCCTTCTAGGTACAGTTTGATCACTAATGAGCTGGTTGATCAGTTTATTTTTGTGGTTCGTGTTCCTGTTTCTATATTTTGCGGCCTGAGAGTGTATTACTTCCTTGATGTATGGTATTTTTAAGTCCTCATGTAGGGTCTGGTTGGAGACGTACCATGGTGCATTTGTCATTATTCTTAAAATTTTTGATTGATAGTTCTGGAGTATTTTGATGTTGGTTGGTTTCGCGCATCCCCATAATTCTATACCATATGTCCATATGGGTTTTAGTATGACTTTGTATATGATTAGTTTGTTATCTAGAGACAGTTTGGATTTTTTGCCAATAAGCCAGTTCATTTTATTTGTTTTAATGTTGAGCTGTAGTTTTTTTGCCTTTATGTGCGCTTTCCACGTTAGCTTCTGATCAAGGTGTAGACCCAGGTACTTGACTTCATTTTTCCGAGGGATAAATTCACCGTTTAACATCGGTTGTGGGCTTTCTGTGGATCTAGTTGTGAAGTTTATATGGACAGATTTGTCATTGTTGACTTTGATTTTCCATTTGTTGAGCCAATGTTGTAGGATGTTGAGATGGTTCTGAAGCTTTTTGGAAGCAGCTATGGGATTCTGGTCCAGCGCCAAGATCGCAGTGTCGTCAGCGAATGTGGCCATGGTGGTCTCATTGGCGGTAGGTATGTCAGCTGTATACAGAAGGTACAAGAGCGGACCCAAGACACTGCCTTGGGGTACTCCGGCTTTTATGGGATAGTAGTTAGTTTCAACTTTCGTTGTCTTGATGTCGAAGTATCTGTTCGACAGGTAGGACTTTAGTAGCAGGAACAGTTGACTAGGCATAATCTTTTTTATTTTATATAAGAGTCCTTGGTGCCAGACTTTGTCGAATGCCTGCTGTATGTCCAGGAATACCGCTGCACATACTTTTTTGTTTTCTAGTCCATCTCTTATTGCGTGAACTATTCTGTGACATTGTTGTATAGTTGAATGTCCTTCTCTGAATCCGAACTGGTGGATTGGTATGAGGTTATCAGGATTAGATAGCTCTAGAATCCTGTTTTGAAGTAATCGTTCAAATATCTTGGAGAGCACTGGCAGTAGGCTGATGGGTCTGTAAGAAGTTGCTTCCGTAGGAGGTTTACCAGGTTTTGCAATCATAATGATTTGAGCAAACTTCCATTGTTCAGGAAAGTAGGATAGATGCAGCATTCTGTTGTATAAGGTGGTTAGGAAAACTATCGCTTTTCTTGGTAGATGCTTGAGCGTTTCCCCTACTATTAGGTCATGTCCTGGGGTCTTGTGTGAATTCGTGATTTTAATCTGAGTGATGACTTCGTTTGGTGTAATAGTTCGAATTGGTGGTGACAGTTGACACGGGGAATCAAGATAGGAATTTATTTCTTCATCCTCTTGGTTATTTAGAGGGGTGAAAGTTCTGACAAGATGTTCAGCATATATTTGTGCTTTTTCGGAATTGGATCTGGCCCACGTCCCATCTTCTCGCCTTAGCGGAGCTATCGGAGTTGTGGGTCTTTTGAGTTTCTTGGTAGCTCTCCATAATGAGTGGTCGTTAGGTTCCAGATTTGTGATGTAGTATTCGAAAGTTTCGTTGTTGAAGTCTTGGATAGTAGCATGGAGTTTGTGGGTAAGTCTGTTGAGATACCTTTTGTCGTTGGGATTTCTTGTGGTTTGCCATATTCTGCGTGCTCTCCGTTTTTCCAGGACCATTTCTTTGATGCGTAGTGGTAAATTATTTTCTATTGTTTTTTGACAGTGTGGGGGTGTTGCGTTCCAAGCAGCCTTTTGGAGAAGTACTGTAAAGTCGTGAACTGCTTTTTCGATTTCGTCATGTTCCTTTAATCGTGTATTGGGTTTGATACGTTGGTTTATGTATTCTTGGTATTTTTCCCAGTTTGTTTTTTTGGTGCATAGGTGGGGGACAGTTTCCTTGGTCAGTATTTCAGTGCTTACCGTTATGATAATAGGGCTGTGGTCAGAGCTAAGATCAAAGCTCGATTTTATGTCACAGTGAGTACTTGGTATTTTCTTGGTGATTGCAAAGTCAAGAAGGTCAGGTATTCTATTCCTGTCAGCAGGCCAGTATGTCGGTTCACCGGTGGAGAGATAATCCAAGTTGTTCTGTTGAATTGCTCGTAGTAACATGTTACCTTTAAGTGTTGTAAGCCTGGAGCCCCAAGTGGTGTGTTTGGCGTTCCAGTCGCCTGCCGCTATGAAGTGGGATCCTAGTGTGTTAAAGTATTGTTGATACTCTTGTGTTGTAATCTTGTGTTTAGGAGGACTG